TGTGCATGTGTGTGTATGCTGTGCGTCTGTACCGATTTTTTATCTCGAGACTTACAAAAGCTGCAGGGCTGAAACTTTGGGAACTTAATATATTGTACGGGCCCCATCTCCAAAATGGGCGCTCTTACCCGTGTAATACCCACGTACAGGCCGCCAAAGTTTTCTTTGGGTAAGTTGCTAACTCAGGGGACCTGAGAAGCTGGAAGGCTGGAATTTTAAGGGGATGTCCCCCTTCCAAGAGTTCAGATCTAGTCCCCGGGTATGCGTGGTTCCCAAGTACGGGCCCGTGAGAGTTTTTTTTTCTTTTTTTGGGTAAGTTGCTGACTTGGGAACCAGGAGAGCTAGAAAGCTGAAATTTTAAAGGAATGTTTTCAGTCAGTTCTGGTGGCCAATCTCAGTTCTCTTAGCTAGAAGCATTTGCCAGAAAAACTGATGCAACAAAAAGTGCGGGGAACTATGCAAAAAACGCATCTTCGCAACGGCAATCACTGCGCTAGCCATTTATTTAATATTTTTCAGTGGCGCATTTGGTGTTGTGCATCGCTGCGTTGAACGCGCGACAGGCAACACTTTTGCAGCAAAATTTGTAAATACACCACACAGTGTGGACAAGGATACGGTACGCAAGGAGATCGACACCATGTCTGCTCTCAGGCATCCGAAACTGATTAATTTGCACGACGCTTTTGATGACGATCAAGAAATGGTCATGATTTATGAATTGTAAGTTTTATTTCAGTTTGCGCTATTAGTTTCTGTAGATTTTTCTGAAAATGGTTAAGAAAAAAAGCTCAGGCTGGAACGCTCCAGGCGAGCCGGTGCGATTGTGCGTTTTTGCACCAAACTTGAAGTAATTAGGTTAACTGCATGAATTGTTGTTTCTTCACACCCATCTTGTGCGTTTAATGGCATAAATCCTCTCAAATTTTCCATGAACGGAAATAAACAATTTTCGTCCAGCGGTCGTTTTTTGAAAATAACCCGGCTGTTAATTTTCCTGCCAAAAATTTAAGTGCCCATACACGAGAACCACCCGTGCCTGGAGGCTGAATTTGAAACCTTTAACTTGTATTTGAACGGGGAAGATTCTCCTAAAATCTCAGCTTTCCAGCTTTTCTGGTTCCCGAATTGGCAATTTTCCCGACAAAACTTCCATAGGGCTGCGAATGACCTGGGGGCATAACTGGGAGCTAGGTTTGAAATCTTTAAGTTGTACGTGGGCTGAGAATATCTCTTTAAAACTTCAGCTTCCCATCTTTCCGGGTTTCCAAGTTAGCCATTTTCCCGCCAAAAAATTTCACGAGGCCGTAAGTGAGAACCGCGCATGCTTGGGGGCTGAATATGATAATTTTAATTTGTACATAAGCGGGGAACACTTCCTTAAAATTTCAGCATCCAAGCTTTCCTGATTCCCAAATTAGCGATTTTCCCACCATGAATCCTCACTGGGCCGTACGCGGGAATCACGCACGCCTGGAGGTTGAATTTTAAGTCTTTGAGTTCTATGTGAACAGGAAAAACAACCTCAAAATTTCAGCTTTCTAGCTTTTGTTTCTAGCTTTCTAGCTTTTCAGGTTTCCGAGTTAGTAATTTCCCCGCCTGGTGTGCGGGGTTCAGACTTGCGTGAGGGTTTTTACCGCGGTCCTGGGATAGCAATTGATCGGGGAACCCAGTGGCAAAATTTTGGCGCCGTAGCTTGCTTGGGTGCCGAGTTGAAATACCCGGGCAGACGAACACATACACACAAACACTCACATGCATACACGTACACACATACGTACACGTACACACACATGCACATAAACATACACACAAACAGGGTCGTCGCAATATGCGTTTTTGCAGTTTGCATGTAAGCAAAAACGCATAAAAAGGCCAGAGTTTCTCTAGAATCTTGAGATCATTCTATAAAGGCAAAAAAAAGGGCTAACTGAAAATAATTGGCAGTGGCACTTTTTTAAAGCACGTTGACAAATTCAACCATTTTTGATGAATTTTTTTGAAGTCCGTTCAGCAAGCAATGTAAAGCAATTGCAGCATGTCGGGAGGTGAATTATTTGAAAAAGTTTCTGATGAGAAGAATCGGATGTCGGAGGAAGAGGCAGTTGCTTATATGCGACAAGTCTGTGAAGCACTGCGCCATATGCACGAGATGAATTATGTGCATCTGGATTTGAAGCCTGAAAATATCATGTTTACAACAAAAAGGAGCGATCAGTTGAAATTGATCGACTTTGGCTTAACAGCAAAACTAGACCCGAAGGAAATCGTAAAGGTTACAACCGGTACTGCCGAATTTGCGGCACCGGAAGTCGCTGCAAATGAGCCGGTTGGCTTCTTTACAGATATGTGGAGCGTCGGTGTTCTCACGTATATCCTGTAAGTTTTTAATTTGCTTTTTGGAAAGAGTCATTGTGGATTAGTAAAACTGTGCAATGCAGGTCGTTAGCGAATACAGTGGGTTATGCAAAAAA